TCCTCTTCAGACTCACGCAACACATGCAATGACACTGAATGCAGGAAGATCACAGGCCAGGGGGTGGAAAGTCTTGCGGATCCAGTGGTGGTGTAAGCATCTTAGCGCTGGCGTGGGTCTCCACGTGGCGCCCCCAGCTCCAGGACTCTGGCTTCATCAGCATAGCTCCATGTGTCTTGTCAACAGGAATGTGAAGCAAAGAGCATGTGCTTCCCGCCTCCAGGGAGGAAGACAGGAGATCCCAGATTCCTCAGGAGAAGGCCATGCCCACAGAGAGGCCTCATTGGCTATGACCTGATTGACAGGCTAGACTCCACCCCTTCACTCAAGTTGACAGGAGAGTATGTAGCTGCCCCAGCAAGTTCATGGGAAAGATGGCTGTCCGTCGCCAGGTTTACAGTCCTTACAAGCCCGGACCAGTTGGCTCTCCGTGCACTCCATCACCCTGCAGCTGGGCGATCCTTGGGAGATCACCTATGACTCACGACGATGACGGGAGGTTCAAAATCCTTAGCCTGACCTACACACGGTCCCTGAGCACATTCCCGCCCAGCTGAGCTGCTTCTGCTGCTTCGACCTCCAAGGCCTCTGTGCTCCTTGTCGCGCCTGATTGGCATGCCAGCGCCCTCCCCGGGCTCCCGCCAGCTCTGGGGTAGAGTTGAGCAGCATCGATGGGCAGCACCTGCCCATCCTCCCGTAGACTGTCTTCCGTCTCCCTGGATGCCCTCGTGGTGGTTTTGTGTCGGGGGCTTTCTTACAGTCGCAGCCATCCACTTACTTGGGTGCGGGTTGCTAGATGGGCTGTCTCCCCACAACTCTGCGAGCTCCCGAGGGCAGGTCTCATGGCTGTTCCACTGTATTCCAATCGCCAGCGTCCACCCCGTACCTGGGAAACACTCTCAAGGGCTGGTTTGTGGTTGGTGTCCGCAGGTTTCCTACCTGGGCCGGGTGCCGAAGTGACACTGTTTCTCCCTCTCCTCCCCGCTGCCCTCCCCGAGTCGAGGAGTGACACAGCGGCCAGGGGAGTTGGGGTCTTCCCCATCAGGTTCCACAGTTCTAACTCTGGAGCTCGTCCTGCACCGCCCCTACCCCCTCCTCTTCCGGTATCGCGATAGCCTACTCACCAACCTCCTCCCTCCGCGAGCTCCCCAGCCTCCGAGAAACCTGAGCTTGTCGTTTCCCCACCCACATGCCTTTGGAAGCGCTCCATTTTCTGTCGGAAAAAGACCAATACATTTGTTTGCAAGTAACTCAAGGCCTTATGGTCTGTCCCCAGCCTGCCCTTTCCCTCTGTCCTTTTCACCCTAGCCACACAGAGCTCTCGGCCGCCCCCTGCACCGCATGTGCCTGCGTGCCTCTGGGCATCCATGCTCACCCTTCCTACATGCTTATCCCTCGGCCAGTGCTCAGCCTTCAGCTCCGATGCTGGTTCTCCGGGAAGCCTCCCGCTCCTCAGATCGATGCAGATCCTCCTCCCCGGAGCATGGAATGCCCTTGGTGTTCCTAGCTCCGCTAAGCCTAGAGGAGGCTGGTGGCTAGCTATCTGTTGATCACTCACCAGCGGCTCTTTCTGGAGAGAGAAGTCTTGTTTCAATTTTGTTGACCCCCCACCCCGCTCAGCTGCCTACATCTCCAGTCCCCCAAGCCAGCATTGACACTAACCATGGGCTTTGCTTTCTAGCAGATCGGAAAAGCTTCTGCACCATCCACAGCACAGGCTATTTGAAAAGCTGGCCGCCCACCAAGATGGGGCTGGATGAAGACAACGAGCCGGACAATGAAGGGTGTAACCTCAGCTGCCTGGTCGCCATCGGGCGGCTGCATTCTCACGTCGTCCCGCAGCCGGTGAACGGGGAAATCCGGGTGAAATCCATGGAGTACGTTTCTCGACACGCAGTCGACGGGAAGTTCGTGTTTGTAGACCAGAGGTAGGACTCCGAGTGTGACCCCTGGCGGTATCGGGGAGGATTGTTCAGCACCCAGCAAAGCAGAGGAAGGCGAGGGGGCCACCACGTTGGCTGTTTATGGATAAAGTGCTGGGCCTTGGGTTAAAAATAAATCAGTGAGAAGGATCATAAACACAGAGCCTCTGTGTGCCCTTCTGTGGCACGTAGAGCCATGTAGTGGGTTTGCTCCCCAAGAGAGAAATAGTGGGCAGAGCATGTTCCCTGAATCAACAGAGCGCCCCCGGACTGGGATCTGGAAGGCAGGCCGTGGAAAAGAGGATCTCGCTGCGTTGTCCGCAGTCCTTGCTGGCCACCTCCGGCTACTTAGACTGAGTTTCGTTACATTAAGTACAGATAAAAACTTCACTCCTGAGGGTCCCCAGTAGCTGAGCCGCGCGTGGCCAGCAGTGCAGACAGAGACCGGTGCTGTGGGCGCAGCAGGTGCTGTTGGACAGCACATTTCTAGTTCCGCCTTCTCACTCCATGCATGTGGAGGCTGAGGACTGGCTGAAGAATGGCCCACTCCCGGATTCACAGCGGATGGGTAGATGTGGGAGAAGGGCCCAGATGCTTCTAATTCTCCACTGCCCACCCTGCTCTCTCTTAAGACTCCTCAAACCACTCACTCACTGCTATTGAGCTGATTCCGACTCTACGCGACCCTATAGAACAGGGTCGAACTGCCCCTGTGGATTTCAGAGCCTGGAACTCTGAAAGGGAATAGAAAGCCTGGTTTTCGCCCGCCGAGCGGCTGGTGGTTTCAAACTGTTGGCCTTGAGGTTAACAGCCTAACACATCACTCCCAACACCATCACAGGCTGAACAAGGCCTCTGGTATTGGAGGTAGCCTCTAAATGTCAGGCAAGGAGGCAGATCCTACTTGGGACCCTCATGACCGTGGGAACTGGAGCAGGTGTGATTTTCCTGAGTGGAAAGCAGCCCCTCTGCGTGGGGTGTGGGTTTCCACGCCGCCTGATCGCCCTCGTGTGGCCACCACTGTACAACCTCCTAACAGGTGCTTGCTTGTGATCACAGCCCCGTGGGAAGGCTTCTTTGCGCTGTCTTCCCTGCCTTCGTAGCCTTGATAAAATCCAGGTGCCCAAACATCCACGTAAACTCTCTGAAAAATCCACCCCAGTTTGTGTTTTCGGTGGTGGCGGCTTAATGTTTTGTAGTTTTAAGCGTAGTAGCACGCTTCATCTGCTAGGAAATTGCTATTAATCATGCTAATGGCTTTACCTCTTTTTCAAAAACCTCCCTTTTAGGGCAACAGCTATTTTGGCATATCTACCGCAAGAGCTTTTAGGCACTTCATGTTACGAGTATTTTCACCAAGATGACATCGGCCACCTCGCAGAATGTCACCGGCAAGGTAAGCCGGTGTGTGCAGAGGCTCTTAGGTCGGAAGCCGTGCACTGCTTCTACACAGCCCACAGAGCCCTCGGGAGAAACCCACCCCGGGCAGGGTGGGAGGCCGCCGGCCGGGTGCTCCAGGGCCCTCTTGGTCCCCTGCCCCACCCAGCACTTGTCTGTGCTTCGACCAGAGCCGCTTCTGCAAGACGGAGCTGCCCCTGTAAAGTCTGAGCAGGGCCTGAACGGACTGTTTCCCAGGAGCCAGCCAGAGAAGGCAACAGCCATGCTCATGGTCTCTCTGCATTCTCAGTTTTACAGACGAGAGAAAAGATTACGACGGACTGCTATAAGTTTAAGATCAAGGACGGGTCCTTCATCACATTACGGAGTCGGTGGTTCAGTTTCATGAACCCGTGGACCAAGGAAGTAGAGTACATTGTCTCCACCAACACCGTTGTTTTGTAAGTGCTTCTGCCCAGATGCTCCCTTGCTTTCAAGAGAAATGCAGTGGGCTCCTGACTTGGGGAGGGGGCCAGGGCAGTACCCCCATCACATTCTGTAAGGCCACCCTGCCATTCTCCTGGGAAGCCGAAGTGAGCGCCCCATTCTCCTGCCCTGCAGGCCGCAACCCAAGTCGTGGAACTGGCATTCTGCAGGCCTGCTTTCAGTGCCCTGGAGGGGTGGCTGGGCCAGGCTGAGGGTGGGTGGGTATCCATGCCCCTCAGGCTGGAGGCCTGAGCATGGGCTGGCCTCTCACCTGCTAGGCAAAATGGAGGAAGTCACGTCTCTTCTGGACAGGCCTTTGGCCCATGGCTCCTTCCACAGTGTCCAAACCCCTCTTCCGGTTCAAGGGCCAAGGCCCCTGCTGGGGGCGGAGGTCCCGTGTGCTCCAGGCTGCCCAGAGAGGAGGTGCCACGCCCCACATGAAGCCCACCCCATCAGGGAGTCAGACCAAGGCCGGCTGCTGCCCATCAGGTCACTGAACGGCAAGGAGAAGCTGTTCTGTCCCTGGGCAGGGACTTTGTTTTCTGGCCCGTCCCAGTCCCCAGTGGACACCGGATATCTCGACCAAAGGTTAACAGTGCTCAGCCCTGAGCAGGCTGACTGACATGCCCTCATTGCTGGAATGTTCACAGAGTCAACGGCCTGGAAGGCGGGGACCCCAGCTTCCCACAGCTCACAGCATCCCCCCACAGCATGGACAGCATGCTGCCGTCTGGAGAAGGTAACTATGGGTCACACACCATCCCCGAGGGGCAGGGCTCTACGGGACGAGGGAAGCCCCCAGAGGATGCTGTATTGACTTGGCCTGAGCACCTAGGACACTGCCACCTCACTCTCTGTCCAGCCTGGACTACTGGGAACGTTTCTTTCAGTTTTTGTGTTTCTGCCTTTTCTGAGGCTGCCTGGTCCCTGGAAGACCTTAAAATCGCAAACTCCACTTTCCTCTTCTGAGCCGCCAGGGGTTGTGGTGGGAAGGGCTATTTGGTGAAGGCCATGCCCAGCGGGCGCCCTCCTCTCCACACCTGTTCTCCTGTGGGGCTGCACCTGCCTGCGTGGCTTACGCCCCCCCGCCCCCCCCCTCCAGCAGCGACCCACATAGCCACATCTCCAGCCCAGACCAGCATTGATTCACTGTCTCCCAAACTGATTCTCTGCCCTGAGAAACCTCAACTCCTCCCCCTCCCCATCCCCCATCATAGCTAAACCCGAAGCCCTGGCCCATCACTCCCTCACATGCCCCACCCTTCCTCGTGTGCTGCCCCGCTGGTTGCAGATACGTTCCTAGCTCCAACTGTATTCTCCCACACCTTGCCTACCTCTCCAGTGAATTCTCCATGCAGTGCACTGGCTGGTTAGCCAACTCTCGCCCAGGGCCTGGTCTGTGAAGTCCTTGGATGGTCCTTAACCTCTTCTTGGTACTGTATAGCGCTCCTATGCTGTCCCGGACCCTCATGATCTGTTGGCGGCACCAGTCTGTCTAGTGTCATCTGTCATCCCCTTCCCAATGAATTCCTTGGAGCAATAGCCCGAGTTTTGTCCTGCCTCAGTGCTTCCGACAGAATGGTCACTGTGCCTGGAATGGCCTCCCTCTCTTCCTAGCTAATGCTTACTCTTCCCTCAACACTCATGTCAGAGCTCACCTCGCCCAGAAGCTGTGTCTGTTCCAACAGGAGGTAGGGTCCTGTGCTTACCTGTGAGACCAGTCATTGTCCCTCTGTATGCCCCCACCAAGACTGTGTGCTCCCTGAGGGCAGGGCTGGCCCTGTTGCACAGCTCCAAGTGTGAAATGTGCTGCTGGGTAAGCGTGGGCCCAGTGCCTGTGGCAAGTCAGATGCTTTACTTTGATGGGTGGTCCTGGGAAGAAATGAGCCTCTCCCTGCTAGAATGCCTTCGAGCCTCACTTCCTGCCAAACTGTAGCTCTGGTGCCCCTTCAAGGCCCAGCTTTGAGGTTGAACTTCAAGTGGATCATGGGATGAGCTGGTTTCAATCTTACATATGATATAATTTCTGCCTCAGTCTCCCTTTCCCACTCTTAAGATTCCTTTGTTGTAGGTGGCCCAAAGAGGACCCACCCAACTGTTCCAGGGATCCCAGGGGGCACCAGGGCTGGGGCTGGAAAAATAGGACGAATGATTGCTGAGGAAATCATGGAGATCCACAGGTAAGTACTGCCTTCCACCGGTCCCTTAAACCGTGGTTCTCAACCTCAGGCAGCCTTGTTCCCAGATGGTTGTCAGTGGCGACATTTCTGGTGTCACAGCGGGCTAGGAAAGTCCTGCCAAGCGGTCAGCTCAGCATCCTACAACCACTGGCAGTCCCCACGACAAGGAAGGGCCTGCCGCCAAATGGCAATAAGTGCCGAAGTGGAGAAACCATAGAGGCTAAAAACCCCCCTGGATGGAGTTGGACGGCTTTCCCTCCAAGGTGCAGCACTGCTAGTACTCGGTGCACGGCGCCAGGAGCCTCACCCAGAGCAGCTGGATCTTAATGCTACAGGCCTGCAGGCGCAGAGCTCGGACTGAGAGGCGTCTGGCCCTTAGCAAAGCATTAGCTGCCTCCAGTCAACAAGCTGTCTTGGGTGAATAGTAGGGACTAAGCCGACCAGTTGCTGAGAGAGACAGCTGTCTCGAAAGAGGAGATTGGAAATGGTCCCACCGAGGTTTGAACCGACCACGTTTTGGCTTCTGTTGGCTTACACCATAAAAGGGAAGCAAAATCCATCACCCAAAGATTGGGTTAGGATCGGGCGGGTCCTCATGAAGGTGCCTGAACAGAGCATGCTCTGTAGCAAAGGCTCACCCGCGGTCTGAAGTCTTAATGAACAGTTGGTTGCGAAGGCAGCAACCTTGCTATGCCCGTTTGAGTTTGGGGAATGCAGACTCGCTGGGACGTAATCATAGAGGAGGCGGAGAAGCAGCCTACTGTCCCCTGCCCCGCTGGGCTGATGGTTTTGGAGGCTGGTCATTTTCCTGTTGGCCAGGTTGGGCCAGTGGTAGCTCAGTTCTGTTGCCAGCCCAGAGGGAGTGATGGATGTGGCTGGGCTGCCTGGCTCTGCTGCGAGAAGGAAATGGGGCAGGATGTCACAACGATCAGTTTGTGGCCAGTCCCTGCCTGCTCTCTCCACTGCTTGAGACCAGCTAAGACCACTCTGAAGGTGCTGGACCTTGAGGATGGGATCGTCCTTGAGGAGAGACGTGTTTCCTCTCTGACAGTAGGAAACGAGAACACGTGGGCTGAAGCAAACAAGGGTTTGAGTTCCATCTTGAGAGGCAGACAGGGGCTTTGCTGTAAAGGGGGTGAGGGGTCATTCCCTCTTGAAGAGCCAGGCACACCCCTAGCTGGCATGTTCAAGGTCCAGAAGCAGGCCACCTAACTGGGCAGCCTTGTGACAGTGCTAAGATGATGCAGAGTGGTTGGAATGAAAGAAACTTCTAGAGCCTTACTCGCCGTGGGGGTGGGTGCTGAGTGAGGCAGTGTGAAGCACCGGGGAAACTGGGTTGTCGTGTAGGACAGATGAGGGAGGACTGTTTGATAACCCCAGAGTGGGGGACGGGGGCTCTCCTACAGAGTGACGTCATCTAAGAGACATCAGGACTGACTGGGTCTTTGAGGCTGAGAGAAGGAAGGATGAAACAGCCATTCTAGAAAGCATCTGGGAAAACAGTAGCTTCATAGACATGCGTAAGAAAAGGGGAGAGGGAGGCACTCCCAATTTTTCAGTCCGTAATTAGTAGCCATCTCAGTGTGATCAACCCCCTCCTCCCCCAAACTGACAGCCATCGAGGCGATTCTGACTCACAGCAACCCTATAGGACAGGGTAGACCTGCTCCTGTGAGTTTCCAAGGCTGTAACTCTCTTTTTTTTTTAACATTTTATTAGGGGCTCATACAACTCTTACCACAATCCATACACACATCAATTGTGTAAAGCGCATTTGTACTTCATTCTCAAAACATTTTCTCTCCACTTAAACCCCCGACATTAGGTCCTCATTTTTCCCCTCCCTCCCCGCTCCCCCCTCCCTCACGAGCCCTTGATAGTTTATAAATGGGTATTTTGTCATATCTTGCCCTGTCCGACGTCTCCCTTCACCCACTTTTCGGTTGTCTGTCCCCCAGGGAGGAGGTCACATATCGTTCCTTGTAATCGGCTCCTTCCAAGGCTGTAACTCTTGATGGGAGTAGAAAGCCTTGTCTGTCTCCCTCAAAGCAGCCAGTGGTTTCAAACTGCTGACCTTAGAGCCACTAGGGCTCCTTCCTGTGTGTGCTCCCTGACCTCCCAGAGCTTATTGTCCAGGACAGCACAAAAGCTTGCTTGCTCACAGATCTCCAGAATGAGGCAGCAAGGACCATAAACCAAGCCAGCTGGGCAGTGGAGGCTGGGTCCCTGGGCGACCACAGGCGGCAGCCATCCATCTAGGACAGCGGTTCTCAACCTTCCTAATGCCACAAACCTTTCATACAGTTCCTCATGTTGTGGTGACCCACCACCCCCAACCATAAAATTATTTTCATTGCTACTTCACCACTGTCATTTTGCTACTCTTATGAATCGGGCGACCCCTGTGAAAGGGTCATTCCACACCCCCAGGTTGAGAACTGCTGATCTGGGAGCCGGCACCCACCCCACCACCGCCGTCCTCTCCATGAACTCTAGCTCTAGTGCTAACTCACTGCTTCCTTCCCTGTGGCACTTCCGCGCCGGCAGAAGTTCACATGGATTCTTCTCGCTGTCAGCTCCTGAGACACGCTAGCTAGCTAGCTGAGGAAGGCCTGGACCCATTTTCTGTCACCTGCTGCCCTAGAGGCTGTATAGGCTTCCGACTGTGCTCGGTCTGACAGAGCCACTTGGGCCTGGAACTCTGCATTCCCTGGGATCGGTACATAAGCTACAGTGTTGGAAGGGAAAAGGATGAATCCTCTGCTGTGCAGCTGTTTTCGGTAGCAAAGATTGAGTTTGAGCTTCCGAGCTCCTGTCCACCCCTGAGATCAAAGTTCCATAGGGAAGTAGGTCTCTGACCACTTACTTGAAATTCTCCAAACTAAAGTGCAAACCTACACCAAGGGCTTGGTAGGAGATGCAGATCCACATTCTAGACCAGGGCCTGTGGGCCAAGTCCAGCTTACCACCCGTGCCTGTCAATAAGGTTGTATTGGAACACAGACACATTCATTCATTCATTTCAGACTGCAGTCAGTAGCAGAGTGGAGTCATCGCAGCACACCCACGATGAATCACCTGCAAAGCCCTGGCCCCTTATAGAAAGCCGGTTGCCAACCCTTATCGGAGCTCTTCTCACCCCTACCCCTCACTGAACAGGAAAGGCGCCGGCACTCACTCCTGTGTTTCCCGACAGGATAAGAGGGTCATCGCCTTCCAGCTGTGGCTCGAGCCCGCTGAACATCACCAGTACTCCTCCCCCGGAGGCCTCCTCTCCAGGAGGCAAGAAGGTAAGGCTGATGACTCGTAGGCGAAGGCCCTCCTGCACCCAGAGCCCCTGTCCCACATTTGGCCATGTGGGGGGAGCATAGAATCGCCGTCGTAAAGGGACCCTGGTAACAGTAGAAGGTTCCTCTGCTGTTCTCCTCCTTGAAGGAAGCGCACCGGCGAGTCTGGGCACAGAGCACCCTGTGTGGCGAGGGAGGCGTACTGGCCGCCACCGCCACAGGGGACTGACCCATGCCAGTAGGGGAGGCTGAAAGAAGAACGCGCTTCAAGATTGGGGAGCTGTGAGTTCAAGAGTCCCCACAAGGGAAGGATTGATAAGCTCTCCACACAGAAGAGGCTCTGCGCTCTCTGCCGGCAGTTTCCATGGGAGAACGTATCCTGGGCACCTGGCGCAGCCCCGGAGTTCGGAGTGCCCCTCAAAGGGCTTCGGCAGCCGCAGAGTGCTCAGGGCCCACATTATTCACTGGTTCCTGAGCCGCAGTGGCAGTGGCACAAGTATGAGACGCTGGCTGGAGGAGTACAGAAACCATGGACGCTTTCATTTTTGCCAGAGTGCAAGCCTCAGCCCAAGTTCATTGTGAATCAAATGTGCATAGTACCCCATTCCCTTACAGGGTATTAGGACGGCTGAAGGGCCAGCACCTTTACATAGGAAGTCCACCTTCCTCACCTACCAGAACATACACAATGTTTGTCATGTACTTAGGTGGGACCCCCAGGGTACAAGCTGTGTCAAATCAAACGCAGGCCAGTGGTCTGCAAGCCCTGGCCCCTCAGCGCTCCAGCGTCTGGGAGCTGTGGGCCTGTGGGCATCAGGGAAGGGCAAGGAGAGGTCCGGAGTGCCGCTCTCTCCCAGGGCAGCTTTGCTCTATCGACGAATCTTCTGCAAGTTCATGTGATCGGGTGTCTCTCTTCACCCGCCAAAGATTGAAAGTCACTACACGCTATTGTATAAATGGAGTACGGCAGACCTGTTTTGAGGCCTGGCTTGGCCACGTGACAGTTCTTCAGCCTCAGTTATCGTTCTGATAGGTAGACTGAGGATTAATACTAGCTGTGAAGGTGCCCAGCCTTTGGTGACAACTTGGAAAACATCGCTGGATGGAGTCTGGACTAGGTATCCCTGCCCCCACTTGCAGCATACGCCCTTAGCTGTTCTGTGGCACCCTGCTGGGTCTCTCCTCCCAAACCAAATTCTCCGTCTCCTTAGGGTGGTCTCCCTTTCACCGCCTCTCATCTTAGCTCCTGCGCCCTGGATTTCCTGGTACCACCAAAAACCCCACAGTAGGTCGTCCCCGACACACAGTGGGGTTCCACTCCAACTCCCTTATAGTCAGCTCCGATGTGAGCCAGACACTTTTCATTCATATTGCTTTTCATTATGACTATCTTTATAAGTCCCTTTTTAAACATCTGTGAGTGAGTATCTGAGGTAGATAATAGCACATTATTCACTGAAATAATGTATGTAGTACATACAAGATTTACTAAAAAGAGAAAGAAAGATGGTTCTGTGTGTGGTTCGTCGTAACTGGAGTAAGCCCTAATTGAGGACGACCTGCATGTTCTGAATGGTTATCACTCCACAATAAAAACCAAGCTCACTCCCATCAAGTCGATGCTTCCCGAGAGCAACGCTGTAGGCAGGGCACAACGGCACTGTAACTCTTACAGGAGGAGAAAGCCTGGGTGTCTTTCCCCCAAGGAGTGGCTGGTGGTTTGGAACCGCTGACCTGGCAGCTCTATGCCTGATGTACAACCACCTCACCACCGAAGGGTACTTTCACTCCAGCATAGTGATGGAAGTATTCCTCAAGTACAAGCTCTTACCTGATCCTCCCGATTTTATAGGTGGCAAAATCTAGGCTCCCAAAGGTGAAATGACTGGCCCAGCATTTGTTAGTACGTGTGGGAGCCACACTAGAATCCACACTTCCCAACAAATGCTGGGCCAGTCATTTCACACTGTACTCTTCTGAGGCTTTCACATCAGCAAGCACCACAACTCCACTGTCTGCATCACAAAGGCCCAAGTATCTCTGAGGTAGTCATGACATTTTTCGACTTACACAAAGGGGTCAGGGAGAAGAAATTCTGGACCTATCCTTTCGTGAGTTTTCAGCAGCA